TGTAGAAAATGCAACGATAGAAAAGGGGAGAAAATTATTTTCCAGAATTAAAATAGAAACTCGGTATTGTGTATTATTTTGATCTCATTAAATTTTTGTCTAAGTAATAGGGTTTCTATCCTTATGGTATGGAACCCTAAAAAAATAACATACGAATTATACTAATCGACTGCTAAGTTGATGGTAGATAGTAGCAGCTGGATCAAGCGTCTTAAATCTAGTTGGAAAACGCAGCTAAGTGGTTTGTCGTGTCCTCTCCAACTGTGTATTTTATTGAGACAATTTTAATTCAGCGTTCTTCTTATTTTATAATGAGGCTTGCCGACGACATGTGAACATGTGCCCTAACTTCTCATCTTCAGTGTGCCAACGAACGAAGGTTTCTCTACTCTCGTGTTCGATTTTAAATCACACGAACAATCAATAAAAATGTAGTCGTATACTTTTTCTTTCTTACTAGATCTATTTAAAATCTACGGTCTTATGGTTTATACTTCTTGTAAGCATATTGTTGGCATTTTATTAATGAATATGAATTTAAATGCTAGCAGTGAAGTTTGTGGTATATATATTTTTTGGTTTATATCACGCAAAACGAAAAAAAAAAATTCATCAAGTTTCGTTTGAAAGATAAGAAAGCAAGTATATATTAATTTAAACAATATATTTATAAATAATCTTGTTATACCATACGGTTAGATTTCATATACAATAAATAATAATTTAAAATATAAATATAACAAATAAAAGTTATTAATTTAAAAGCTATCGAGAATAATAGATAAATATGTATAATATTATAAAATATAACGATATTAAGAAAGGATTCTCTTCAATTGTAAGATTTGCATCGAAACTAAGTTAGATTAGCAGTTACCTATAAAATCAATTAATCACCACTAATGACATCGAAATTTCTTGATTTAATAAAACGTGAAACTCATATTATACTGTTTGCAGCCTTTCCTAAGAAAAATTCGCACGCTTTTACAATAAAACGAGCAAGAACAAAAAGAAATCTCAGCATGGTTAAAGATATTCATCAAAGCCTTATGCACATGTTACAAGGAATTTGACAAATTGCCCGTACTCGGCGACGTTTCTAACGAGCACGTGCACTCAAATTTCACTCTTTGATGTAATGTAATGATGTAATTATAACAGTATATTCTTTGTGTCAATGCATGCCCTTGATTATTAACCCAGCATACTTTTTCCCCTTCCTAAAATTCGCGTGTGTTCATTTTTTATGCTTATGATGGTAGGAGTTAGGAGATATACGTAATATTATCAAAATTGCATATTTTAATATTTTCAGCATTTATCTGCTTGTTGTTTAAATCTTAAGAAAATTTCACTAGAACCTATTCGACGCGGACCAGTAGAGCAATAAATATTTCAGATTTTTCCGAGAGGATACTTAAATCAAATACCCTATAATTTTATTGAAATAGGATACATAAAATTTATCAAACATTCTATAAACTAGTTTAAAAATATCGAAACCAGTTTAGGCAGCATAAATGTTTCTTTAATCTAATACACTACCATACTATTCGTTATTTCCAGTTCGTCATGCGATTTTAAATGAAGACGTTAAAATATAAAAAGAATAATGTAACGAATCTTTCAAGATATCTCTGTATTCAAATTTAACTGTATAGTAAGAAAACAATAAAAAAGAACTATATCATGTGTGGTAAAAAGAATATCGTATGCTGATCATGCACTTGTATGTTATTGCTCGTATCTAATTGTAATTACTACCGAAATCTATTTAAAGGCACTTTATAATTGCCGTACTTTATCTGTTTGAAATTTAGCTATCGAGTCATACAGATAAACTTTAGAAAGTGGTAGTATTTAAAAAAGAATGAAATGCTTCGTTTATGTGTAGCAATAACTTGACATATGTCTGATACTCGTGGCCGCGACTTGATTCAACCACGGATGCTGGTGGAAGACGATAAAAGAAGAGACAGAAGAGAGAGATAAACGTTTGTAATAAAAAAGTGAAAGATACAACGAATGTCAGTAGAACTAAAGGTACAAAAGAAGGGGACAGAAAAAAAATAAGAAGCGGCACAAAATTGCATATTCAATGTTATCTGAAATTGATGGGACAAGTTGAGTCGGGCTAGTGGAAACATTTGTACTGTGAATATTAATCAAAACAGCCATTTATATTCACCACTACTGGGCCCTATTGATAAAATCACAACGGCTCATTACCTAACTCACGGTCCCAGATGTGGTCCCAGTGTAAATCGGTGAATGTTAACTGAAGCAGCCAGGACCAACGTTCCGACGAGATAAATTAAACTCTGGTTTTACGACCGGTCATTGTAAGTTGTTTAACTACAAATAAACATAACACTAAACTTTCCAAATATTGTGTCATATCGCTCTTACGTGGAAGCACTATATCTCCAAAAACATAAGAAAACATAATATAATCATATATATATATATATATATTCATAAGAAGAAATCGCTTTGACCGGTCAATAATAAATTATTTCTTAAAATGATTTAAGTGGATCGAGTGAAATATTCTCTCCCAGCTTGAATGCACTTTTTCATTTATATTTTGATACCATATTAAATATCCAGGTAAAGTCATTATTAAAACTAAAACACTTTATGAACGAATGAAAAGTGCGATTTAGTATGTTTTTTTATTATTCTCGACTTCGTGGTCACATCCATCCACCAGGAAAATATTTTTTTCCTGTGTTTTTTCACATCTAAAGTTCCAATAAGATTGCATTGCCTATCTGCATCGAAATAGATCAATCTATATATATTACTCGTTCGCTCTTTAATGCAACATTGGATACCCCTTATTAATATATAACTCAATCAATTTACAAAATAAAATGTACATCCATTTTTAGTTTATTTTCTGTTTGCTTTAAAAAGAGCAGCCAGGAAAAAATAAACATTTATTTTTAAATCGAAGCCGTATTTGTTACCGTTTCGGAATAAATAACGTATTCAGTCATCGGTCCAAATGAAACAACACGTATTCGAACGATCGTGACATTTTAAATTCTAGCTTCGATTTGCCTTTTTGTTGGTTTTGAGGTCAAACCTGTTTTTTTATACGTAATTGCTTACCCACGAAGTTCGTGGCAATAGATGTAAACTTTATATTTCTTTTTTGCCAAAATGGTGCTGATAGGCACCACCCTGCCAAGGAAAAAAGGTAGGGTCTAGTAGATTTGCATTCAAATTAGAGCGCCCGTTTGGGGAACTAACCTCCACCTTTAAGATGATCACAGTGAAAAGTGAAGCTAGAGCACAATCTTCCCCTATCGAAAAAGGAGAATGAGCCATGCGGGCAAAGTTCGGATTGGTAACGATTGCAGATGTAATCAGGACCAACTGCTTAACGTGCCTCCCGAAGCACAGAGGAGCTCCATTTAGTAAGTTTTTAGTCACCCATCCAGTGACCGGACATTGCGAAAGTTGCTTGACTTTCACGATCGCAGACCGAACGCGCCAACCAATTGCGTCATCGAGCTCATACTTAATGATTGGCTAATAGTTTGTTTTATCAATTTAACAAAAAAAAATGTAGATTTTTATGATGAGACTTGCGAGTGTAACAGCTCCGATATTATTTGGCTTTAAGCTATCTATGAAATCCATAGTAAGAAAAGTTTATTTAGATTACTTTATCAAAATTTGCAAACTTTCATTAGTGGCCGCCAAAATTTAAAAAGACCGCCAATTTTACCCATACCCCTTTTTACATGATTGCCCAAAGAAAGGAGTGTAATGTTTTTGCCATTTACGAAAGGCCAAAGAGCTCCTCTATTAATGTTTTAAATGTAATTGAAAACTTTATGGCTATGTATCTTGGCCTCGATGCGACTAAAAGTCGCAACAATTCAAAGTCTAACTGTTTTCTGCTGGGCTCTTGTATACCTGATATTGACGCCCGGCCCTAATAACAGAGGCGGCCCAGCTAGTGCGATATCAATCGCTAACTGTTCTTTGATGGAACATTACCAGACCTACGGCTAATTATTTCTGATTCGCCATTATGCTTGCTCTTCAATTGAATTCCATTTGTCTGCTATCTAGGTCGACTGCTGTATGTTCAGTGGAAACAGATTTTACTTAGCTGTTTGATAGACGCTTGTGATAACACAAAATTAATATTACCTAAAAGATAGTGACCGAAAACTCTCAAAAAAAAACTTGTTTATTTTAGGTTTGATAGTAAATACGAATTATATGTATAATCGAAAGGATATTGCTCTTTTCCTATATATCGAATGCCCAAGAACGCACAACAATGAGAAAATGCTAGTTGTGTTCGGAATCATTCATAAACTCTTACTAGGCATTTGTTGAAAGATGGACAACTGGAGGAACCGTGGCCAACTGGATTTTGAGGTTAAAATTATTATACTTAATCGTAAACTATTTACACTTTATACATTCTGAAAGGTTTTATTGTTTACCTCTATGTAAGCACTTAAATATGAATTAAATAATAATAAAATGCAATAAATAATAAATATAATAATAAAAAAGTGCTCATATTGATTTAAGAGTGTTGGCAGTTGGCACGTATAACATTTATACCTACCCGGTTATAGTACGGTAATAGATTATTTAAAATGAAATGTTTATAGGCTTTCCATTTACCTGTTTCCATATTTTATTATTGGTAATTAGGTATGATGTCCTTCGTAAACATTATGAGTTTCATAAAAATAAACAGATATTAAATGGGATGGGAGTATAAACTATCTTAACATAATTATTTATAAATATAATATGAATACTAGTGATGAGTATTATTAACTAAAGAGGTAGGTACCTACTTCTATTATTATGTTGATAAATACCTATGGTCGCGTATGTTTCAGTTATTAAGGCTCGATCTCAAAACAGAATAGATATCGCACGCTTAAAATTGTATGGTCTAATTGTCCGTTTATACACAAGCGGTAGCTTTTCATGCTCTAAGGATGACATGCCATTACAGAACTATTTTTTTTTTATTTTACCACAGAATGTCCGTTTACTATGATTAATTGCGAATAAAGTAAAAAATCATAGAATGCATATAATGAAAGACATTTGTTTGTGCATGCTGGGCAGATTTCGTCGTTGTCCTTTGATATCTTCTACGTGTCTAACTTCATTGCGCCCTTTTTCGTTACCTTTTAGTTAAGATTCCCGCATGGAAGCTCTTTTGGGGTTTGTACTATTAAAATAATAGAAGAACAAGAATTAATATATGGTGCTAATTTTCTTTATTTATAATATAACAATAAGGTAGGATATTAAAATGAAATGTAAACAAAATTGTTACACAAAGTACTGCAAACGAATAGGCATATAAACCGTGCCAGATGGCATAGATAGTTGTTCCCTAAAGTTCACAACAACAGCTGATGTAACAATTTCGTAAGGTCTTACTAAACGGTGAATACACTTGCGAACTTATTTGCGCTCTGGCTCCGTTCGTCCCAGATCGTTCTTTATTAAACGACACAATCACGAATTCAGAACACGATTTAACTCTTCATCAAAGATAAACATTCACTCTTCGATCATGGCGTGCATTATGTTCGTCCATCACCTTCGTAGGTACCATATAGTCGGACTGAAAGCGTAGCTATTTCATTTACGACTATGCAAAGTCCGTTGGAAACAATGTTCATTGTTCCTTTATTATAAACTCGACAAGCTAATAAACAAAATAAAACACTTCAGATTCTCGCTGGTACTAACGCGAACGAATGCACAGGATATATGTCTTCAGGGAAACCGGCTTGTATGGTCGTCATAATTACTTTCAGTTTAGCTGCAGTATAAATTTTATATAAAAGCTCCGGTGGACGCGTGACTGATGAATCATCTTCGTCATATTCTATTTCTTCAGATGTCGATACGTTCTCCTTGATAACAATAACACCATTCTCTGATAAAGCCTCAGTAAACCTCTCTAATAAAGCGATCAGATCGTTATCGTTCAGGTGACCAAGCACCCACTGGCACCAGACGACATCGTAAGTTTTTTGCGGCTTGAAATGCTGGAGACCGATTTTGTACACCGTCCCGAGCTTATTGTTGTCTTCGCCGATCAATTGTTTTGCGGTGCTAACGAACTTCTCGTCTTGTTCAACCATGTCGACCTTCTGGAAGCGTGGGATCAGTAGATTTTTTGTGATCCGGCCGATTCCTGCGCCACAATCAAGTGCGATATTTTGAGACGGCGGCTTTTCAAGCGCGAAAATTTTGTCTAAAAACTCATTGGAGCCTTCGATGTCGATATCTGATATATGGCCGTACCCACCGAGTATTCCGTCTAATGTTGCTGGGATATTGGCCCAGTATTTTTCGGCAGTTTTATAAAAAATGTTCTGAGTCATTTTAACATTTGAATTAATAAATGTAGATATTATTGTTCCCAAGATTTTTCCACATTTTTGACAATTTATTATTTTGACAGTGACCGACCATGACATTTGCAACGTTGCATGTTTTGTTTAATGATCAAATCTTTATTCCAAGGTTATGGCATAGTTTTGATTCCGGATTCCGTTCTCTTTGTTTTAATATTTTATTTAATCATCACGAAACGATTTTGTTTTTTCAATAAGTTAATCAAAATTTTAATTTTAAACAAACATGTCTGTATGAAGTAGTGATAATTACTTCTCTCTTTAGGGTTCCTTACCAGAAGGGTCCAAACGGAATTCTATTGTTCTCACTCACGTGTCCTTCTGAGCAAGAAATATTTTAAGACCATAATTATGTATGTAAATAAGTATATATGTACCTTTTGGAAATGTGTTTCGAGCAGTATAGTTAATAATATAGCCAAAATATACCTAGAATTACTATCACTCTATTTCTAAGAATAATAATATATTTAGGTTCAATTCGATTTGTATATTGTTATTTTAAGCAATAAACTGGATTGATTGTCCAGTGTCTGATGCCTATATCGAATGGATTCCTTTTCTTGTAATTTTTTTCTGTAGATAAATATATACTTAATCCTTATCAGATATTAATTTGGGGGTATTATTTCAGGCTTTAATAACAGCAGTGAATGAGACGCCGGAGGAAGATATCCGAAATGCTCTGAAGGTGCAGACGGAGCAGCAGCTTGCGTTGGTGCCTCGCGGACCCAAGGTCGTCAAGGACACCGTGTCTTTCAATACCACCATAAACACAGATGACACGGTGAGGAAGCTTGCTTAATTGTAAACGAACCATAATATATGAGACGCCGGAGGAGAACATCCTCTATGCTCTGAAAGTGCAGATGGAGCAGCAGCTCGCGTTGGTATCTCGCGGACCCAACGGCGTCAAGGACACCGTGTCTTACAATACCAACATCAACACAGCTAACTCACCAGCTTAATAATTAATTAAAATATACTAGACAAAATCCACTTGGTCCAAATATCAGACAGGATCCAGGTATCAAACAATGTCTAGGTATCAAAAAGGATCCTGTCTGCTAACCATCTTATTAAAAAAAACCGGCCAAGTGCGCGTCGGACCCACGCACCAAGGGTTTCGTACAAACTCAATTTGATACCTCTACGCGTTCGTGAGAAAAGAGGTACTTAGTAACTTCAAAATTTTCAAAAATATTTTTTATTATATGATGTTTTCGCAATTTTTCCGTTTTCTGTTCTGTAAGACGTTACTTCGTACCAAATTTCAAGATTCTAAGTTCACGGATTCTAGGTACTCTGTAGGTTATGATTCCCGTGCGAGTTTCGAAAATTTGTGGCATATACGGCTGTATCTTTTGATTGCTTTGGGTTAGAAGTTCGAAAGAATTTTTTCGCAGCTCCAAGGGACAGTAAACATCGAGTATTAGATATGAATTTTAGTTTGATACCACCACCTGTTCCTGAGAAAAACGGTCTTGACAGACAGACGGACGTACGGATAACAAAGTGATCTTATAATTGTTCAGTTTTTTCCTTTTGAGGTTGGAGGAGGTTTGAGGAACCCTAAAATGAGGGAAACTGAGCTTAACAGCTAAAAAATATTTATTTATCGATTTATGATTCTGCGCAATAATGTTACAAAATCCAGTAATTAATTCTATTGAATGCTTTTTACTGATTTAAAATAAGAGTCAATGAAATTGACACTGAAATATCCTCGCTATATATTGTTTTAAACTTTCATGGTCACTAACATTATGTAATATATATTATTTACGGGATTGTTACCCAATAAAAACAAGGTACATGGTAACAATCCCGTAAATAACTTATATTACTATAATATATCCTCGCTGATTGTAGTAATTATTTATTTAGGAAGAACTACGTGCATTGCGACCTGATGGAACTATCGTAACTGAGACCCGACACACAAAGGAGCAAGAAAGACTCTGCGACGAGGAATTGGCGAAGGACGAGGTAAAAACAAACTTATCATTATTATTTTAAAATTCAACAATAAAAGAAAATGTTAGTGTGCACGGACCACACATCTGAAGTATAACTTCTCTTCTTAAATAACCTAATATTAGGTGGTGCATAACGCATAGTGGAATGGAGCAGCGCACGCATCACCCATATACAAGCCTTGCGTAACAGACAAACAGAAATATAATATTTCGTATGGGTAATATTTTAAAATCATCATCATCATCAGCCGAAAGATGTCCACTCCTGGACATAGGCCTCCAAGGGAATTCCAAATATGCAACGATCCTGCGCTTTCCGCATTCAGTAGATCCCCCCGACTCGCTTGATGTTAGCTCATATATTTTATAATGATACATAATTTTAATTTTAGGCGAAATCTCTACGTAGTGATCAGAGCGTAGCGGAACAAACTGGCGGCACTGAACGCAGAAAGAGAGTAGACCTCGAACGCAGCACGGATCTGATGGCGGGCGGTCTCAGGGTGTCTACCCAGCTGCACTCACGTTCCCGTACTGAAGAAGGTTTGTTTAGCATTTACATGAATAAATGAGAAATGCATGTTTTACTCTTTTGGAGAAGCAGGTGCCTTATTCGAAAAGTAAGCAAAAGGGATATTGTGTTTATAAAAGAAATGAACATTACAGCGCCATCTTGTGGGTATGTTGCAACAGCGATAACTAAACATGATGTGTTTAACAACATTTGGGTAAAATTATTTGTAAATAAACGAAATGTACATTATTTTATTATAGGAATAAAATAATTACGTTAAAAAAAATATTATTGTTTACAGTTGAGAAAGACGGACAGCCCAACATGGATGACGATTGGGACAGCCTCTCCGTTCGTATGCGACGCCAGCGCCGACTGCGTCATAGCGGTGAGTAGCGATACTATTGCCAGAACATGCTTTTATAGTTGATTAGTAGTACTTGCTATTTAGAACAGATGGCGTTACAAGTAAGAAAACATCTTTGTACATATTGTCTTTCATAGATGGCAGTAACACATATTTATTACAAACAAGTTAAAGGCACTAATATTATTATTTACTGAAATAAAAAGTTTTATTATAACTGCGATAAAAAAAAACAAGTAAATTTTCTGACGAATCATTAACCTCGTATTCGTATTAGGATACGAAATAGATCTAAACTGACTGGTAGGGCAGTATACATGGTGTATTCTCCTCGTACCCACCAGAGCGCCAGGAAGGGAAAGATTTGTTGCGCCTTGTATATAAAATAAAAAATAAAACCTCACAAAATCAATCCAACCTCCAAAATCAATCAAGTGATGAGTTTTTTTTTTACCAACCGACGTTATATTAGGTAATTCTATACAAAAACCCTATTAAGTTATTAAAATTATTACCACGATTTGATAAAGCAAAACTTACGTAATTGTTATTAAAAGAAGTTTTTTTTCGTTAATCTTTAGCATGTCGCATTACGTTTTTAATTGTTATTTAAAGAAACTGATCTTATAACGAACATCGTCGGTGGTTCAGTCGTGGAAAGCACGCCTTGTACGCGGGCGGCCCGGGTTCGACCCAGCGCTTTTACCCAGTATAGAGATTTATACCCAGAGATTTTAAAAATTTCACTTCCGTCCCAATAAAACCACACCAATTTTATCTTTATGCCTTTTTTAAAAAGTCCGATCGAGTTTCCTTTGAATCTATTAACAGAGGAAAGAATTACCACTGATTCGATTTGAATATTAAATAGTCGACCTTGAATTCTTCCGTGTTATTATTATGTAATAATCTCCACCTTATATATAGATCTGCTTCAGAAAGTGAGCCCACGCAGCCTTTCAATTTGAAGTAGGCAAGGCAGGTATGCGGATACTTAGCAGACACCTTTGCAATCTTAAAAAAGGAGCTCTTGCAATTTTTGAACCTTTAAAATAAGTTCATCTTGTTTACTGAAAGAGGTATTGCTTAACAACATCATCTTTTAAGGTCCATATGGTAGGGTTTTTTTTTTGTTTAGTTTAGACGTAAGGTCAATATAGGCAACGTTGCGAGTGATATTTATTGTATCGCAAGCGTCTATCATATGGCCGCTTACCATCAGATGGGCCAGATGCTTGTTTGTCATCCTTTTAACATATAAAAAACATTAGGTGAGAGTAGGAACGCAACTATTGCTAGGCCTAACAATAAGATGAATTTTAAAGATCAGTTGCTACTGTACCCCTAGCACGAACCATTATCGAATTCAAATAGTTTGCGAGTCCGAAATGTCATTAACAAGTTTTGTATGGAAACTTGAAAAGCAGCGCCACAACGGACGCAACGAGAACTAACAATCAGTACACATTTGACAATTAAATTTCGCACTCGCAAACTATTCGAATTCGATAATGGTTCGTGCTAGGCGTACTAATCTTCAAAATATTGTTACAGTTGCCACTGCCTATTTTTTTTTGATACCGTAAATGTAAATATGATATTTTAAAAAATCATCAATTAAACTATTTTATATAAAAGCAATAAAGAATGAAAACAAAAACACCTGTGTTCGCCTTCCTATTTCTAACTAAAGCGTACAAGCACGCATTTAAAATCTGCCCACGGATCGGTGTAGGTACATTTATGGAAACTTGTAACTGCTAGTAATTAATTCAGATTATATTAATTGTTCTAGTTAAAATGTCATAAAGACAGACAGCACCTACTACAGATTTAAATATTTAGTTCTCTATATTTATACACATGGGTAAAATAACATTCAAGTCACATTAATATTAGCCCCATCAAACTCAGACGCAGCAAAGTCGATGTTTGTAATGGTTTTCTCTAGTAAGAATAGCTCGCCCTCTCCAATGTTTTAAATTAAATTACTTGTGTATGTTTTGGTTAGGTTACGATGAGGCTGGCATATTCGTTGAAAGAATGCCTCTAAATAAATAAAGAAAAAGAAATCCCTTGTATTTCTATGGGGTGGGTAAATAAATGGGCAAAATTATACAGATAAGTATCATTGTAATTTAGCATATTAATTTTCCCACTGCTGGCAAGCCATGAGCACAAGCCTTACCTATATATAGAATAGGGAGAACTGAAGACCAAGCACGAACTTTAATAGCTCCGTAATCGCATCGCATCGTCAAAATTTCTATGAAAACTAAGCAGCGCCTACCGGATGCATAAACAAACTAGCTTTTTCCATACAAAATTTTGCGATGATGGTACTTTACGGATGTCAAATTCGTGCTTGGGCCTTGGATATGACCCACCATGCGAGCCCAAACTGGGTTAAATAGTGGATGATGCCAACGGCTTTAACTGACTTAAGTACTAATGAGCTCATTAAAGTTGCTTAGTTTACGATCGTAGAACGAAGCGCTTGCCACCGCGCGGTTTTTTTTTGGAAAATAACCAGAAATCTCTAGATAATCGAAAATCAACACTTCACGATACACATTCTCATTATAAATTGCATTTACTTATAACATGTACCAGTATTATATGGTCCATGTTAGTAATAACCTGATAGTAGAATCTAGCCCGGCTTTGCAGGGGGCAGCTTGTACCATATAAATTATAGTAATAGTAACTGCAGCATTGGATACGTATACTTATTATTATAGATTACCTCATTATTTGAAAATACTATAAATGCGAAGGTCGGTCTTTGTTACTTC